GACATTCTTGTCTTGATCCTGATCTTAGGGGAAAAACATTCAGTCTCTCACCATTTAACTGTAGGTTTTTCACAGATGCCATTTGCAGGATTCAGAAAGTTCCTTTTTACTCCTAGATTATGGAGAGTTTTTATCAGGAATGGAGATTGGATGTTATCAACTACTTTTTCTGTATTTATTGAGATGATCATGTGGTTTCCCTTTGGTGGTATGTTAATTTAGTTGAATGTTAAACCAACCTTGCATTCCTACGATAAACTCTACTTGGTCACAGTGTATTTTCGTTTTTGTAGATAGCTAACATTTGGTTAAGAAATTTTGCTTCTGTGTTCATGAGCGATATCGATTAGTAGTTGTCTTTTCTAATAATATCTTTGTCTGGTTTTGGTATCTGAGTAATACTGGCTTCAAAGAATGAGTTGCAAGTATTACCTCCTTTGCAATGTTCTAAAAGAGTTTGTGTGGAATTGGTATTCCTTCTTCCTTAAATAAGTGGCAGAATTTATCAGTGAAGCCAGCTTGGGCCAGTTTTCTTGGTGGAAAAAATTCTTAACTGTAAATTCAGCTTCTTTAATACTCACAGGGCTGGGGTGCCTGGGTGGCTCCAACAGTTAAGCAACCAACTCTTGATTTTGGCTCAGGTCATGATCTCAGGGTCGTGAGATCAAGCCCTGTGCCAGTCTCATACTGAGTGTGGAGACTGAGCTCACTTTCTCTCTCTCTCTCTCTCTCTCTCTCTGACCTCCCCCCCCCAAGAGCTCTCCACATAGACATGCAGATTTGCTCTCTCTTAAAAAAAAAAACTGGCTATTTCCAGTTACCTTTGAAGACAGCTTTCACGTTTTGTGTCTTTCAAAGACTGTGTCTAAGTTGTCAAATTTATTGGCATAAATTTGTTTAGAATATTGTTTACTAAATTATTTATAATATTCTCAGACTCTCCTTTTAATGTCTGCAAGATCTTTAGTGATGTCACTTTTCTCATTCCTTTTTTGGAAATATGTATCTTCTCCTTTTTTTCTAATCAATCTGGGTAGAGACCCACTTATTTTATTGATCTTCCCAAAGAACCAGCTGTTGTTTTAGTGATTTTCTCTCTATTTTTCTGTTGTCTATTTCATTGATTTTTGCTCTGATCTTTATTATTTCCTTTATCCTGCTCTATTTGAATTTAATTTGCTCTCCAAATTCTAATTTCTTTTTTTTTCAAATTCTAATTTCTTAACTTGGAAAGTGGGGTCATTGATTTGAGACCTTTCTTCTCTTTCAGTTTAGTAATTTTAGTATTACAAATTTCCCTCTAAATATTGCTTTCACTGTATCACCTAAATTTTTATATGCTATGTTTTCATTTTCATTTATACAAAACACATTCTAACTTTCATTTTCATTAATTCTTTAATCTGTAGGTTATTTAGAAGTGTGTTACTGGTTTTCAAGTATCTGCAGATTTTCCAAATATCTTTCTGTTATTCATTTTTAGTTTAAATCTTCTGGAGTTAAAAAACATACTTTGCTTTTATTTTTAATATTTTTAAATTTATGAAAATGTGTTTATGATTTAAAATGTGGTTATCTTCATAGATATTCTACGTGCCCTTGAAAGGAATGTATTCTACTGCTATCGGGTTGAGTGTTTTCTATAAATATCAATTAGGTCAAGTATATTGATGAAGTATCATTCAAGTCTTTTATATCTTTTTTGATTTTTCTACCTACTTGCTCTTTTATCTAATACAGAAACCATATTGACCTTATTTTTCTTATTTATCCTCAGACTGGTGAAAACCTCATCACAGTTTGACATTACCTGACAAATGCGCCAATATTAGTTTAATCCCCACATATTAACCAAACATTCAACAGACATAGTTTGAGTATCCATTAAAATTCAGGCTCTCTACAAATCATTGAGAATACAGAAAGGGATAAATCTTCTTTAGAGAAAATTTGTCTAATAAATCCTGGGTATAAAATTTCTAGCCACAAAGATTCTGGATAAGATCTTTGTACTGCTCTCACCTTCTGCCTATCCTATCTCCCTATCCCATTTGAGGCTAGAATTGCTATGTCTCATTAGTAAATTCTTAACACCAAGTATGTTCAAAGTTACCTTTCTGTCAAGATCTCTACCTGCTGCTAAATATCAGCTCCACCAATGGAGTCATATTTGGATATTTGAAATCCCTTTCCATACCTCCTTTTCGTAACAGCTTTATTGAGCTATAATTCACATACCAGACAGTTTTTAATATATTTGCAGAATTGTGCAACCATAACCAAATCAATTTTGAACATTTCACCTCATCAAAAGGAAATTTCAAACCCTTTAGCTCCCTACCTCTACATTCCCCCATTACTAAATAACCACAAATCTACTTTCTGTCTCCATATATTTGGATATTCCTGAACATTTCATATAAATGGAATCATAAAATATGTGTTCTGTGTGACTGATTTCTTCCACCTAGCACGTTTTCAGCTTCATCCATGCTGTAGCATGTATTAGTAGCTCATTCCTTTTTATGGCTGAATAGTATTTAGTTGTATGGATATAACATTTTATTTATCCATTAATCCAATTGATGGACATTTAGCTTGTTTCCACTTTTTTATTATCATGAATATTGCTAAATGAACACTCATGTTCAAGTTTTTGTGTGGACATATATTTTTTCTTGGGATAACACATAATACTAGAATTGCTGGGTCAAGTGGTAACTCTATGTTTAACTTTTTGACGAAGTGTAAGACTGTTATCCAAAGTGTCTGTACCATTTTACATCCCCACCAACAGTATACGAAGGATTCTGATTTCTATATTCTCATCAAAGCCATTATTATCCAATCTGGTGTATTTTAATATGAAATCTAGCCTCTTTGCCTTTGCTCCTCTTTACCTACCTATTTTATTTCCCCTTGTTCTCTGGCACATACATAAATTTTTAAAAGCTGTTTCCTTTAAAGCTCCATAACACTTCATGTTTATTCCTAACTTGGTCTTTGTCCATGCTATTCCCACTGTTTTTAACATCATCCTTACTTCTGTCCTTTGCCAATCCAAATTTCTCTACCATCCTTCAAGCCTACATTGACATTTTCAGCCATTTTTAATTTCCATCTCTCTGAAATTTAGCTGTATTTATAGCTGATTCCCCATAAATTAGCCTTTAAGTATATTTTATCTCACATAGTTTGCTATTTCATCCAATATTTTTGTCTTAGTCCTTGTCTCTCTGATTTATTTTTAAACTCCATGAGGACTATAATATTATGCCTTATACTACTGCAGCCTAATTCAGAACACACAGTGAACAGTCTATAAATACTTACTTGTTGATTGATTCTAACAGCATACAAATCTCACCTTGTATTTACTTTAGTTCTTTAATGGAAACTTTAAGAAAATGGTTTTTTGATTATCTCCTTCTTCATTCAAATTAAGATTATGGTAGAAATCTCCATCCCATGCCAATAGCAGTGCAAGAGGATTATAGCCAATGGTGATCTTCGAGTCCCTTTTCTGTCCAAACTGACCAATGTAGAAGATAACCATTTAATTATAAAATGATTGTCCCTGTTCCCTTCCCTATCCACCCACTGCTGCCTGGAGCATTTCACTCAGAGAACCTATAGACAGAAAAAAGGAGAAAGGGAGCTTGATACCTGGCATAGGAACTAAACCTGAATAAAAAGAAAGTAAATTTATGCTAAATTCTCTAGCTTTATTGCTATATATGCTTTTATTTATTTGTGTGTGTGTGTTTTATATATTTTTTATTGGAGTTCAATTTGCCAACATATAGCATAACACCCAGTGCGTTTAAAATTATTCTTCAAATAAGAATGATGCTTTTTCAAAAATATATTTAATGAGGAAATATTACTGACAAATACTTGCCATGGACACTCTAAACCATTTATATTGGAGGCAGGATGATACAGTAGGAAAAGCTCATGTTTCAGTCATAGCTCAAGAACTTCCTAGCTTATAACTGCCAAATAAGTATCCTTGTAAGTAGGAAACAAGCATCCCTATGTTCATAAGCTGGACCGTGTCTTAATCGCTCTTGGTGGCTCAGTGATCCCTGGCATGTCCCTGGCTGAACATCCAGGGCCTCCTCCTGACCCACATCAGGGGCACACAGGAAGCAAAGCCAGGAGCCTAATGATGCTGCAGCAGACCATAGCCATTAAGAGCGCAGGCTGTGCATCACTTGCTAACTGTGTGACCCTAAACAAGATACTTCCACATGTATGCTTCATCTTCCCCATCAATAAAATGGAAATGATAGTACTATTTGTTGTGAGGATTAGATAATAAATATAAAGTATTTAGCATTTGTTCCTAAAATGTAGTAAAATGACTAATAAGGTTTAATCATTATTATCATTTCTTTTTTGTACAAGAGGTATGTGACATACAAACCCTGTAAAAATTAAGGGACTGGCCAGACTATTACAATAGTGATGGTGAGGGCTCCACCCACAGGCTTCTTTCTTCCTTCCACCCACCTCTGCTGTGATCTTTGGCAACAAGACACTTCCACAGAGGCAGTAGCATAAAGACGGTGCAGATCATAAGAGCACTTCATGCCTCCACTCCTTCCCCAAAACCCATCTCAGAAAACACCACAAACGGCTCTAGCTTATAAACCCTGCCCCTCTTGGGGCACCACCAGTTGATGGTATACCTGCAGAAGACTTGATTTGTCCAGGGGCCATGGTGAGATGTACCCATTTTACTCTCCTGACTTCAAGAAAGTGTTTCTTACTCTATTTGCCATCTGAATACTAAGTAAAGCCCATGGCTTACCAGGGCTACTGCTAACACATGCAAGCACCTTAGTGTAAGCTAGAAAAAGGTACCTCTTCCTAAAAGTTATGTTCCTTCCACTCCATTAGAATAAGATAGTTTACTGTCCTTGTGCAGTACACAACATATTTAACCAAACATGGCAGCCCTGTGGCTTATACTCAGAGTCTCTGTTCCTCTTTAGGTCTTGAAGCACCTACGGCACCTAAACTTTACCAACAATATGGGGGAGCAAGTGACTTTCGATGAATGTGGTGACCTGATGGGGAACTATTCCATCATCAACTGGCACCTCTCTCCAGAGGATGGCTCCATAGTGTTTAAGGAAGTCGGATATTACAATGTCTATGCCAAGAAAGGAGAAAGACTCTTCATCAATGAGGAGAAAATCCTGTGGAGTGGGTTCTCCAGGGAGGTATGTGCTGTCCGTCAGAACAACAGATGCCTCCACCATGGGCAGGAAGTTGTGCTGAGCTTTGGGAGGGCCTTGGGCTTCACCACTGGACTTGAGAAATGATGAGTCCACTTCCCTCAACTCACTAACTCTGCACTGCCAAGGTTCTCTGGGAAATCCATCAGTGTTTAGGGTACAGAAGAGAAGCCTCAGAATGTGAGCCCCATCCTTACTATATTGAAAAACGTTTTATTCTTTGCAAATTTGACTCTAGCTAAATGGCTAACAATTCCTTCACTAAAACTTCCCCCAACCAGAACAAAATATTTAAGCAAACATAAACATCATTCAAGGCAGGGCCTGGACAATTCATACAGAGGTAGTTCCCTGTCATCCAAATAGCTCAGAGCAGACCTATAATTCAAAAGAACAATTTCCTAGAAGATCAAATGGTTTGGTAACTTGAGAAATATAAAATCTGTGAGAGTATTGTGTTCTGTGGTTGGGAGTGCTAGTGTGTACTGTCCTTCACTATTTCTTTTCCTTTCTTTCCCTCCCCAGGGTCCCAAGAAACTTAGAAATCAACAGGTGCAATACTGCCATTTCTATCCCTCTTTCATTAGAAGATAATGTTAATCATCTTCTATTCAAGTTTAAAAAAAAAAAAAACCTCCTTGTCAAACCAGTTCTTTCTTTCCTGGTATAGCAAAGAAATTATTTTGTTGTTGTCCATGTATTTAACTTTGTAAGATGGCTCCAAATCAAGCAGGTAGGTGGGGAGAAGAGTCTTATTAAAGAGACAGTTTGGAAAGAGTATGAGCCCTTCCATGTTATCTGATATAATCATAAGGAATGAGACAGAAGTAGAGCTTCTGAAATGGTGAAGCAGCCAATTGGACAAACCTGTCAAAAAAATAACCACTTAGGGATCTGGTGGCAATCAACCAAAAGCAAACAAAAAGTGAAATGTCTTTTTGAGAAAAACTAATGAAATTTGGGTAAGAAAGGCCTGTGGCATTTTAACTTGGGACAGCTCCCGAATTATTCCTAAGAATGTGGTTGCTGTTTCTTTAGTTTTCTATGTGGACAGTCATCTTATCTGCAAATAACAACAGTTTTATTGAGTTATTTCCAATATTTATGCCCTTATTTTTTGTCTCATTCTACTAGCTATGAATTCCACAATGTTTGATAATAGTGGGATAATGAGCATTCTTGTTTTAAAGGAAATGCTTTTAATATTTTCTTATATAGAATGATGTTTACCTACGAATGTTATATATTATCCTTTACAAGTTAAAGATATTTCTTCCTAACTCCTTTTTCAGTTAAGTTTTTAATCGTGAGTTTGTACTGAATTTCATCAAATGCTTTTTCTTCACTGATGATATTTTTCTGTATTAATGTATTAATGCAGTCGGTGACATTTTATAGATTTTTTAAAATAGATTTTCTAATGCTAACTTGTTCCTGGCATAATCCCAACATGATCATGGTATATATTGTTTCTTATGTCCTTTGAGTTTGTTTGTTAATTGTTTTAGTATTTTTTCATCTTTTTGCAAGTAGTAAAGAATAGTTATACTCTTTCCAGGTCCTTTCAGATTCCTTATACTTTGTATACACCTCCAAGACTTCTGCACAGTTTTGCTTCCAATAACGAGAACCCATGGCTCTTTTTCAGGAGACTACCAGCAGGCTAATGGAACCCACTTTGCCCACAGGGGCAGAGAGCAGAAGAGCCTAGGAATCTGCATTTCCCTAAGATGACCCTTAACAATGAGGGATGTGGAAGTATGAAAGCTCTGGCTCCCTTTCCTTCAGGTCAGGATAGCTCTGAGGAATAAATTACAGGCCAGAGTTCTCCTGTGGGATCAAGCAGAGAAGCTATTCTCAGAGGGTCTTTGCTCCAGATCACACCACACCCTTGCCGTCTTCTCTTCTGGATCTGACTTGCTCCGATCTCCTCTTGGTTCCCTTGAGAGAACTTTCTTTATAAAACCACTTGTACACAGATCCTCAACTCAGGCTTCCTTCTGAAGACGACTTAGAGTAGTGAGATGGGCCTGTACTTTTTTTTTTTTCTTTTTCATACTGTTCTTGTCTGGTTTTGGAACCAGGGTTACGCTGGCCTTATAAGAAAGAGTTGGAGGGTCTTCCTTTTTTTCTTCTTCTTTTAAACCTCTGATAGAATTCAGATAACATTGGATTCATCTGTTGCTTGAAAGTTTAATGTTATCTGCTTGTGGTAAACACAGAACAGTGGTCATCTCAGGCATGAATACGTGGTTGGGGAGGAAGCAAGGGGTGGGGAAAGCATACGGTTAGGTATAAGTTATTGTTCTTGTCCCAGCTTTTGTTTTGGGTGGTAATCACTAACAGTGAGTAAAAGTGATTGAAACAGGGGATCCCTGGGTGGCGCAGCGGTTTGGCGCCTGCCTTTGGCCCAGGGCGCGATCCTGGAGACCCGGGATCGAATCCCACATCAGGCTCCCAGTGCATGGAGCCTGCTTCTCCCTCTGCCTGTGTCTCTGCCTCTCTGTGACTATCATAAATAAATAAAAATTAAAAAAAAAAAAGTGATTGAAACATAGACAATGATGGGGGAAAAACAAGGATTACGATTAATCAACTTCCAAGCACCTGAAGTCCACTAAGGAAATTAATTAATTAATTAATTAATTAAAAATCTCTGTTATCTGAAATTAATGTAGCTATTGCAGATTTCTTTTGAGTAGTAATTGCCTGACCTATCTTTCTGATCCATTTGCTTTTGACCCTTCAATGCCTGCCCTGCCTACCTTGCAGAATGGCTGCGGGGATCTCAGATGTCACCCTATAAAGCCTAAAGCAGGAATTGCAATTCACTGCAAAGCTCAAAGTCTCATTTTCAAACATATTTCTCCTCATCTCAGCATCTTCCCTTGTAATTGTCCTTCTATGTGTAGGTCCATGTCCCTATATCTTTTAGTTTGTCTTAAATCTCTGTTTCTCTGAAAAGTAAACAGATAAATAGGCATCCCATTCTGGGACTTGGAGGGAACGGAATGGGGGGTTATTTAAGGAAGATTTTGGTTGCAACAATGAATATTCCCAGAATCCTGTGAATGTGTATGTGTGTGTGTGTGTGTGTGTGTGTGTGTGTGCATGCACATGTGTGGGCACTTGCTCGTGACATCTCTCCCTTTCATAGATAACAGGAACAAGGATCTCTGGAGCTTCCTCCCTCTGGAATGGCCTGAAAGTCTGTTGTGCTGGTCCTTGAGCACAAACTCCTGCCCTGTACTTGGTGTCAGAGTTGCTATAAAACTGATCCCGTAGCTGCAGCCCCTCATTTTCTGCTCTCGGTTCTCTAGATGCCATTTTCCAACTGCAGCCGAGACTGCCTGGCAGGGACCAGGAAAGGAATCATTGAGGGGGAGCCTACCTGCTGCTTTGAGTGTGTGGAGTGCCCCGACGGGGAGTACAGTGACGAAACAGGTAAGGGAACATGCCCTCATGGACACCATGCAAGGCTTGTCCACTTTAGGGGCTCTGGGGTCAGCAAAGTCCCTGGAAGGGCTAGGCTGAGAAGGTACCTTGCACAATTTCTCATTTAACCAGGTATGTCTGAGAGTCACACCAGGCAGGGCACTGAGGGAGACAGAAAAGAAATACTAGATGTCTTGTAATACTATAAAAGCTTAGACATCTTTCTTTTATTTTGATACCATTCTCCAATATTGTATTCCTTTCCTGAACAGACCAAGTAGCCCTGAACAGACCAAGTTCTGTCTGCTAGACGGCAGAGTTAATAGGTCTGCTGGGTGCCTACCATCATATTACTGTCTTTTTTATGCTTTTCCTGTGCCTCAGTTTCTTCACCCATAAAGTGGGAATAATAAACCTATTTTATAGAGTTTGGGGAATTAAATGACTTAATATTGGTATAGCACATGGTAAGTTCTAGATGAATGTTAAATAAAAACCTTACCTGACATATTGGAGGCACTCTGTAAATATTAACTATAATTGTTACTATTGCTAGTATCTCACTTCATCCTCACCACAATGGGATTATTGGCTTCCATTACACAGATGATTGAAACTGAGGGTCAGAGAGGTCAAGGAGCTGACCAAAGTCACACAGCTAGTAAATGGCCAAGCCAGGCTAGCCATCCAAATATCTGACTAAAAGCCCACACTCCTTTCGCTCCCCAAAACTGCATGCTCTTTGGGACATAGCAGAGACTCGATACATGTCTATTGACCCAATGAGTCTGCAGCCTCCCTCACTGGAAAGCCATGGATGGGGAAGTAAGGAAGGCAGAGGTTATTTGTGTGGGATAGTGCGCCTTGATCTAAGAGGAAGTCTGCTCTGACATGTCCACAAAGGCCATCCCTACATCCAAAATGAGTCACGCTGAGTGTGAATCACTATGGAAAGTTGATGAGCTATGCTAGAACCCTGCTGTGTAGGCAGCCACCTGTCCAGCACGATTGATCATCCTCTGCTATAAACCATCAGCAAGTAGTGTCAAAGGAAACATGTAGCACCACCCCAACCATTTGCAAAGGAAAAAAATAACAGAACTATTAAAAATACATGGAATTAAATAAATGTATTATTAAACATAAATCAGAATTCAATGTGTTTATAATGTAAAAATCACAAATTATTTAATCAACAAAGACAGTTTAAAGTGGCTGCATCCAATAACCTGTATACCGTTGCCACCATATTCACACACACAAATTAGAGTCTGTGCCCCACAGTGACTAACTGTTCCCTGGAATAATTTACAGATGCAAGTGCCTGTGACAAGTGCCCCGATGACTTCTGGTCCAATGAAAACCACACTTCGTGCATTGCCAAAGAGATTGAGTTTCTGTCCTGGACAGAGCCCTTTGGGATTGCACTCACCCTCTTTGCTGTGCTGGGCATTTTCCTGACAGCTTTCGTGCTGGGGGTCTTCATCAAGTTCCGTAACACGCCCATCGTCAAGGCCACCAACCGAGAGCTCTCTTACCTCCTCCTCTTCTCCTTGCTGTGCTGCTTCTCCAGCTCCCTGTTCTTCATTGGCGAGCCCCAGGACTGGACCTGCCGCCTGCGCCAGCCGGCCTTTGGCATCAGCTTCGTGCTCTGCATATCATGCATCCTGGTGAAAACCAACCGTGTCCTCCTGGTGTTTGAGGCCAAGATCCCCACAAGCTTCCACCGCAAGTGGTGGGGGCTCAACCTGCAGTTCCTGCTGGTCTTCCTCTGCACCTTCATGCAGATTGTCATCTGTGTGATCTGGCTCTACACGGCGCCTCCCTCCAGCTACCGCAACCATGAGCTGGAGGACGAGATCATCTTCATCACCTGCCACGAGGGCTCCCTGATGGCCCTGGGCTTCCTGATTGGCTACACCTGCCTGCTGGCTGCCATCTGCTTCTTCTTTGCCTTCAAGTCCCGGAAGCTGCCGGAGAACTTCAACGAGGCCAAGTTCATCACCTTCAGCATGCTCATCTTCTTCATCGTCTGGATCTCCTTCATTCCAGCCTACGCCAGCACCTACGGCAAGTTTGTCTCTGCCGTGGAAGTGATCGCCATCCTGGCCGCCAGCTTTGGCCTGCTGGCCTGCATCTTCTTCAACAAGGTCTACATCATCCTCTTCAAGCCGTCCCGCAACACCATCGAGGAGGTGCGCTGCAGCACCGCGGCTCACGCTTTCAAGGTCGCGGCCCGGGCCACGCTGCGCCGCAGCAACGTCTCCCGCAAGCGGTCCGGCAGCCTGGGGGGCTCCACGGGCTCCACGCCCTCCTCCTCCATCAGCAGCAAGAGCAACAGTGAAGACCCCTTCCCGCAGCCCGAGAGGCAGAAGCAGCAGCAGCCCCTGGCCCTGACCCAGCGGGAGCAGCAGCCGCCGCAGCCCTTGACCTTGCCGCCGCAGCCGCAGCCCCGGTGCAAGCAGAAGGTCATCTTCGGCAGTGGCACCGTCACCTTCTCGCTGAGCTTTGACGAGCCGCAGAAGAGCGCCGCGGCCCCCCGGAATTCCACGCTCCAGCACTCCCTGGAGGCCCAGCGGAGCCCCGAGCCCCCCGCCAGACCCCAGGCGTTACTGCCGCCGCAGGGCGGAGACACAGACGCGGAGCTGCCGGCCCAGGAGCCGGGCCTGCAGGCGCCCGGGGGTGCGGACCGCCGCCCGGAGATGCGAGACCCCGAAGAGCTGACCCCAGCCCTGGTGGTGTCCAGCTCACAAAGCTTTGTCATCAGCGGCGGAGGCAGCACGGTCACGGAAAACATACTGCATTCGTAAAAGGGAAGCAGGTGGCCAGTCCAGGGAGGATGCGGAGCGGTTTCCTGGGGTCATGTTCTCTGACAGGGATGAGGAATTGCCCCAGACTCCCTTCTTCTGAGGAAGGGGGGAATTAGACACACCAAACACCTCACTCTTGGTTGCACTGTTTTAAATAACAATGAATTGACTAAAGTTCCCTTTAAAATTTAAAAGAGAAGGAAGAAGAAGAAGAAGAAGAAGAAGAAGAAGAAGAAGAAGAAGAAGAAGAAGAAGAAGAAGGAGAAGAAGAAGAGAAAAGAAAAAAGAAAAAGAAGAAAGAAAGAAGAAGAAGAAGAAGAAGAAGAAAAAGAAAGAAGGAAGGAAAGAAAGAAAGAAAGAAAGAAAGAAAGAAAGAAAGAAAGAGAAGAAGAAGAGCCATGTGACTCTGCAGTTGGATATATCAGAGTATTGAGATCACCATAATCAGATTTCCCATTCATGTCCCTTCCCTGTTCTCTTCCTCTGTTCCATCCCGCCCACTAGCCCAGAGGTGAAACCAAGGCTGTGTGCCACCCACCGATTCCCTCCTCCTTTTCGTAACACCGAAATGACTGCTCTGAACATTGCCGACAGCCTGGCCCAGAGACCAAAGTGTGCCGAGTGACAAAACATCAGACTGGCCACCACTAGATTTAAGAGTCTGAGAGACAGAACGTCCGCAGTGCTGCCCAGCACCTTGACAATGGGAAGAACTTCAAATGTTCAAAGCCGTAAGGCGAACATGTCCCCTCCTATTTATGAAAACCACAAGATACTTGGTCTCCTACTTGCTGCTGCTATCATGTGACATCTAGAAGGTTAGCATCCCTCCTGTACCAACGCATTTGGTCAAGAATGTAATAATGATGCCATGTTTAGATTCCAGGATCACAAGAATCACCTCAAATTGTTGGGAAGGGACTGCATGAATCCAATGAGCTGTATCTGTAATTAATATTGCTATATGTAGTTTTATCTTTAAGAAAGTGCTTCTGTTATAATAGTTCATGGACAATATAAACTGGAAAAAATGTCACAGTCTGTTTAATATAAGGCAGTATTATTGAGCTCCTTGCCCGCCCTTGCCTCGCCCACCACCCTCACCTCCATGAGCCAAGCCCAAGTGAGTTCCAGGGATCCGGAAGTTGCCCCCCATCCCTGCCCCCAGGTCCTTCTGAAGCCAGATCCCCACCTCACCCTGTGGAGAATAAGCTCCCAATCGTTAGCCCCTACCAATCGCTGGGGTAGGAAAGTATGATTCCAAGAGAGCTCTCACAGGACCCCAGCCTGGCATCACCCCCACTGCCCTCACCAAATGCCACACCTGTAGTCCCTCCAGCGGTGGGAGTCTGCCCATGGAGGTTAAAGTGGTTGAATGGCGTACTTCTGAGCATTCAGGCTCTGGAGCCAGAGAGACCTGGGTTCCAGCCAGTCTCTAACAAGGTGGGTGACCACAGGCCGGGAACCTTAACATTGATTGCTAAGCCCCAGCTTGTTTGTCTCTAAGAGGTAATAATCACTCTTTCCCCTCAGAGCGCTTATGTGAATTAAACAAGACGATGTATGTAGAGTACTTTAGCGTGGTGCCTAGCACATAGAAAACAATAAATATTAGTTAATATTATCACTGATATTGCCATTTTTTTTCACTTGCTTAGAATATAAAACAAAGCTTCCGTGTTTGCCATTCAGATTTTAACAATAAGCCCACTGATGACAAAAACTTTCTTCATAATAACCCCAAGAACTCTGGGACCCAGTTCAAGAGGTCAGTCCTAGTAAGGCTGGCTCTTGGTGACAAAGCCAAAAAGTCTATCAGACCCCTGGAGTCCCCATGCTCTGCTTCTATGGTTCCAGCACCAAGGAAAGAATGTCACCAGTCTGGCAATAATTTCTCATGTCACTCTAAATGCTGCTCTTAAGCAAAGTCAAAATATAGCAATTAAATCTGTGGGAGGCCTCAACTTTCCAGCTCTTGATGACTTCTTCCTCTGACCACTTTCTTCCAAAGAGCTGCCTCCCTTTCCGTGATTTTTTTTTAAAGCAATTTGTTGATGTGATGGTTGTTAATCTGGACCAAGAGCCATTCAAGGACACCACGTGGGTAACGTTACTGCGAGACACAGAGGAGGCCTCACACAGGAAGTCGCTGGTAAGGCCTCCGCTCCTCAAGCCAGGAAAGGTACCAGCCATGGGCCCTGCCTGCTGCTCCTGCCCTGGTCATGCCTCTGAGCAAGGCTCAGAGCTGAATGAAGAATTATATTTAATATTTTACTTCACCTTAAAAAAAAAAAAGAAAAGGAAGTTGAAAAGTTTGACGGCTTGGCTTTTATGTGTCAAAATAGCCACATAGCAAGACAATTACTTTGCTGTGTAACATGTCACACCCTCGTCCTTCAACATGCAGGTCACCCAGTTGCTGATCCAGAGGAGGCTCCTCAAGGAAAACATGCAACATTTACACTAAGCCCCATTTCGCCAAGTGCTTACAAATAGAGTAGTATTTCCCAATATTCTTGTCAGAACGGTGGGCTCGACATCATTGCCCTCATCTGCATGTTGCAGGCACAACTCCCAGACAAAATCAGGGGTGTAATACACGAACCTTATTTTTCTGTAACAACCTAGTTTCTATATCAAATTTCCATCCAGCCTAGTGACAGAAAATTCATCTTCATTAAATTGGGGTTTTCCCAGTAACTTCAGAGTTTTCTGAACTGATTCAGATTTCTGGGGGTCAGCTCAGAGGTTTCTTCCCTCCCCCTCTTCCATGAGGACTTTTAGTGAAAAGGGAGGTGATGTCCCTCAAATATCAACAACCCCTACTGACGTCTCTGAGAACATCCTTATCCGGCCCTCAGTAGCTTTTATGCCTCCACACTGGCATCCTCTGAGGCCTCGCATCCCCACATGGTCTCCAGTCATGGGATCCACAGTGATTTTCACAGCTGCATTGCTTTGTCCCAACTGCTAGGCTCTTCCCAGGCCTGCCAGCTTTCTCATGAGTGGAGGACACTGGGGCCTGGAAATTGCTGGAACAGGCTCCTCCCTCCCTCCTGGCCTCCACCTCATTGCTGCCTCCCCATGCTGGTGTGGAGAGTTCACTGAGACTAGGTTTCACAGGCGCCAGAGGGAAAACAGAGCACGAGTCTCCCAATCTGCAAAGGCATTTGTTGAGGGCTGAGTAACAGTCCCCCAAAGATGCCCGCATCCTAATCTTCAGAACCTATGATGATAAATTATGTGGCAAGAGTGAATTAAGGTTGCAGATGGGATTAAGGTTGCTAATTAGCTGATGTTGACAGGGAGGATTATTTTGAACTATCCAGTTGGGCCTAAGGTAATCACAGCTCCTGGAAAGTGGAAGAGGAAGAAGGCAGAGAATCAGTGTCAGAATATTGTGATGTGAGAAAGGCTCCACAGATCATTGCTGCTTTTGCATATGGAAGGGAACCAGGAGCCAAGAGACACAGACAGCTTCTAGAAGCCAGAAGAGGCGAGAGAACCAATTCTCCCCACAACTTCCAGAAGGAACCAGCTCTATCAAAACTTTGATTTTAGCCCACTGAGAGCTTTTTTGGAGCGTTGGTCTCCAGAACTCTAATAAATTTATGTTGTTTTAAGCCACTGAGTTTATGGTACTGTTACAGAAAAAATGGGAAACTAATACATTTTTACTATCTCCCTTTGCTGAGCTTTTTCAGCTCAGGGACAGGCCAGCCCCTTTCTCAGAGATCCATCTGCTCTTACTCTACTGCTCTCGCCACCAACTAGCTCTATCTCTCTCCTCCCAAAAGAAAGTTCTGACCTATATTCTATTCCTTCAGATCTATTTGGGGAAGTATAAACTTTGTGTTCTTAGTCTTTCTGGGTTTCAGTTTTAGACAACACCCATTTGCTCCCAATCTATTATCTGTTAGTAGCAGAAATCTAAAAAAAAAAAAAAAAAAAAAAAAAAAAAAAAAAAAAAAAAACACTAGCTTCAACAAATGAGGGTTTATTTTCTTTCTTGTGTAAGACAGTCAGGAGGTTTTTATTTTTAAGATTTTTAGAGTCCAATGGCAATGGGAAACTGTTTATCTTTCTTTTGAAAATAAAAATGAATTATATAGTTATGAAGGATTTTCACTCAAATGAAAAAGTTTGCCAGAAAATTTTAAGAATTTACATTAGAACTTTACAGGTAACGAAAAGCATGTAACATTATCATTCTGAAAGTCCCTGTGATCACTAAAGGTTGTCTAACTGCATTAGTTTCAATTCTGGGGAAATCAGGGTTCCCTCCATTTTTCTCCTTAAAGGTCCACTTATCGGCAGTGTAATTTCTCCTTCGGGCCTGGCTAAAGCTGTGGGCTAGCCCTGCACGAAGCCAGTTTTCCTCCATCTCCTGCATTTGAACACATCTGGGCTAGCAGAGCAACAGAACGTTAGGGGGGGTGCTGATTAACCCCTGCTCTGAGCCTGGATGGTCACTTCTGGCGTCCACTGGAGACAAAGGTGTATCTTGAAGGTGGTGGAATTGGGGTAGGTGGAAGAAAGTTGTTGTAATGAGATCATCGGTGTCCAGGAAACCCTGGCTTTCCTGTCCTGGATCACGGGGAAATTCTAGCAGTTGAATGAGAACTTTGCTATCATGCAAGGAGTGAGGTAGGGGTCAGGGATACAACAAGTATAGGGGAGGATGAGTCGTGGGAACAAAGGTGTGTTCCAAAGACAGGGAGAAGAGTTTTAGCCTTGAAGGGAGCTGCTCAGCGAGTGTGTAAGAAGTAGAGACCTACTAGAAGAAGCCAAGTGGGGGCAAGAGACTGTGCAGAACCAGCATGAAGGTGTATTTAGGGACTAGCAGGACAACTGTGACCCAGGCATCAAGTCGACAAGGAGGACCACCTCCTCTGCTTGGAATGACCACCACATCTGTCCCCTCCCTGAATCATGCACAAGAATGGGGGGAGTTTGGAGTAGTGGAGTTTGGCATACCTGTTTATGCCAAAAGCTGGATTAGAGGAAGTGGGTGGGGAAGCCATAGAAATTATCACCAGCTGTTCCCTCTGAAATTGGGGCACTAGCTATGTGAATAACTAGCTAGAGCAGGAGGCTAGAAACCATAAAACAATTAACCCTAGGACAGAGTTCCCAGCACTTGAAGTGCAAATGTTTGTGGGTGTAATGGAAATAGGTAAGAGATCAAAGCCCAAGAATAACCCTCAGGGTCAGTACAGGACTTGATCCGTGACTAAAGTGTCAAGCAATGTTTTTGGAAGAATGTGTTTGTTGTTCTTTTTCACATCAACCCAAAGATGTGGTTATTGCTCAAAACCTCCCAATTTTCTTTAAATGTTTTATTTCTATCTGACCTGTGAGAACATTCCAATAATAGACATTGC